TCTAGAGCTGTTTTCCTTTGACACTTCAATGGAAAAAAATATGCTACATTCATAAAGACATTTTTGATATATTAGCATCAAAACAAGTATTTGTTTTAGAACTCTAAAGTCTCAGTGTTACGACTACCACTACCAACTTACCAACTGGTTTGTTCACTCCAAGAAAGCCTGCATTTCCCAGTATCTTGAAGACTTTGTGGGCTGGAAAAGTCCCTTCTGCTTCCCACTGATCCACATAAGGGTTAATCTCCTGGTCAATGAGCTGCAGCACAAAGATAATCATGGACATGTGTGTCACTCTGTGCTGCATTAAGCATCAAGTCTGAATAGTTTTTCCAAGTAACTAGAGTGCTATTTGTACATAATTTGCAGGATTTTTCTGCGTAAAAATGTTTTATTTCGTCCACTTAGCTAAAAGCGATTAACACTCTACAGAAAATACCACAAGAAAAACAAGCGTCGTTATTTTTAATCAAGCTTGTTGTGTGGCATATGTCTGTTCTCAAGCCTGCCTTTTACCACTAACAGAGACAAGTTGCTGCATATCAGCAAAAGCGGCCTGCAGAAATGGTTCTATGGGAGCCTTCAACCACAAATAAGTGCTGGGAAAGAGGGGATGTCACACCATTTGAAAAAGGCGACGTTGAAGGCTAATATCTGTACTTCAGCGCCGATTGTGTCTGAGGCCAATAATTGTCTTGGTGTTCAGCAGATCTGAATTCACCCAGTTAAAGTTAAAAAAAAAAAAAAAAAAACATTTTAATGTGTTTTTCACAGAATTATCTGTAAAAGGGGCAATTGTAATCTTAATAATTCAGCTCAGTACACACAGTTAAGAATTTATATTGAAAATTATACCAGTCAAATTCCATCTGCATGAACAGTGAATCTGCTGAAACCACAAAGCCTTGGCTGCAACTTTTAGGAAAATAAAGAAGCAACTAAAAGCATCAAGGAGCGACTATCCTTTCAGCATTGCAAGCCGAAGAGTATTTTATTTTAGCAAATAAAATGCTAAAATAAAATGTTAAAAAACATTTGATGTGATCACATATATTTTTTTAACAATTTCTCTTAGCAAAAACAAAGGTTCAAGCTAATCTGGATGGGTAATAAATCATTATTTGAAAATAAGGAACATTGGTATGTAGAAACTGGCCTGAAAACCAGTATAATGTCATATTAATATTTTCCAAAGTTATAGATTCAAAACTGGAAAAATATATTTTTGTTCCACAATTAAATGTTAAAGACATGTAAGAATAACAAGAGTATTTCATAAGGAAAAATATGAAAAATATTTGCCTTACGCGGCACATTGTGGATCAACTAGTTGAAAGAAGGTTTCTATACTTTCTCTGGCTAAAAAGAAATACAAATTAAGACTGTTTGGAAATATTTACCGCTGCAAAGAAATGCAGGTAGTTACAGTGTGGAAACCAAAGGAGGTCCACCCATCACTATTATAAAGGTAGCACTGTTTTGAAGCTTCATCTGGCAAAGCGGGGGACTGTAGGCTTGGTACTTGAGCAGATGACTAAAAACAAAATCACTTTACAAAAAAAAGAGAAACGCAAAACTTTCTTGTTGTTAAAGAACGTATAAAAGTTAAACTAATTCTTTACCTCAGCTAACCCACTAGAATCTTAAATTGTAAGAAATAAAATAACCTTATTTCCTTATCAACACCTCCAGACAGCAGTCAACATTGTGGTCAAAACAGCAAAAATGTGCCTACAGTCATTTTTATTCCTGCCAAAACATACAGACGCCAAGCCAGCTAATCACAGTTAGGCCAAAAGGAAAGAACAAATTGCTAGGGAAAAAAAAAAAAAAAAAATATATATATATATATATATATATATATATATATATATATATATATATACACACACACACACACACACACACACAACAACAAACACAGGTAACCCTCTCATTTAACTTGCACTCCTTGTTCAAAGTTCAGTTCCTGAGGAGGAAAAGGGAGGGACAGCTGGCTGCTGGAAATCCAAACATAGAGGTCATTGGGGAGTAATCCTAGATGTCCTCAAAAATGTTAGTTTGCTCATTTCGTGCTACATAGCTGGGAGATTTCACACGAGTGAGCTGTCTGTTAGTAATATGAGGGTCAGAGACGTTGCATTGCAAAGCGTTTCAGCATGCTCTGTTTGGAAAGCCGTTCCTTTTCACTGGACAAAAATATTCTGGATATGAAGAAATTAGGCAGGATTTTCCCATTAAAAAATATTTTTTACAGTACGGCTGGACATTTAGGGATTTTGGAGGATATGTGCAAGATGTCCTAATTAGCATAGCAATAATATACTCATGACAAAATAATTGAGAAGTAATCTGAAAAACGTATATATTTTTTGAACACATTCATTTTCATCTGAAATATATGTATATGGCACGTATATTAATATTGTCAAATATGTTTTAATCAAATATGTTTGAAAACAAAGTAGCTTTGAAGTGCTTAATGAGCAGGATATATCTTTTTTGCTCTGTGGTGAACTTATTGATAAGCTGCAGGAAATCTTTAGCTGCATCCAAGCAAAGCAATGCATGACTAAGTGCTTCCTAATAATGTCAGGGGAAGCTGTTGTTCATCTTTCAACGCAGCAGCTGCTCTGTTAAGACTCCCAGCTCTGCCCAGTTCCTGGACATGTTCAGGGCTATGGAAGCTCATGGTTTAATGTTTATGTCAGAGTTACTGGCACTCTGTGACTGTAACCTTCAGCATTGACTGGGGATTTCCTCCAACAATAATCGTAATTTATAAACACACTACTATAGTAATTATTTTTAAATAAAGCATTCTTACTCAATGCCATTGCATTGTTCTGGATTTCCTTTTTCACGTTTACATTCTTCCCAGTATTCCCAGTGTTAGATTATTTTCAGCCTCCTGGCATTCTTTAATAAAAGAAAAAGAGGAAGAATGAACCTTTATTGTCTGACTAATAAAGCTTTAGTCAGACAAAAAAAACTTCCCTTGACTTTGTGCCACATTTCTGCTTCCTTCCCCCTGCGTCTCCTGTTGCTATTATTGAAGTCCATTTCCATTTCTTTGTCTGGTAAAATAAATCTAAAACGACTCACGCTGATTACTGTCAACCTATTTCTTAGAAAAAATATTTAGCATTAAAAATGTGTCAGAAAGTATAGGCGCATCTTGAACAATTATAAAAGTCACAAAAAGCTGATTGAATATGCGCAATTAAATTACACTGAACTGTGTGTGGCTCTGTTTCTGTTTGGGACAGCATATTCCTTATAAATAAAATAAATCATAACTGTTAAAATAAGCTTATTCAATTAAGCTCCAATTAGTGGATAAAATTTATAGTCAGAAAGCCTAATTTGCCGATGATATGAGCAGATTAAAGAAATTCACTTGATTTTCTGGCATCCATTCTTGACATGAAATCTTCTATCACAGACCTCTAATCCTTACCTGAAAAAGTTGGATACGAAAAACACCAAAACATCATCCGACTGGGTCTTAAACCTTTACTTTATGCAAAAAAAAAAAAAAAAAAGTCTCTTTCCATCCAAACTACTTAGCTTACCTTTTACATTGTAATTAAAATGTCAATTCAAGTTAGCATACAAGGTAAATAGCGAAGGGCAAGACTAACAACACAGATGTGCTAAATATAAATAAATATTCAGTTTGGAGTATCGTATTTGACGCCATCAACACATTCAGACCTCGGCCACTCTCACGACTGGCTGCATGTTTCATGTCATGTTCTGGAAATATAAAGATATAGGATTAAACATGCAGCGGCTAGAGGACAGGCGTCGTATATGTCAGCAGTGCAGCTGAAACGAAGACGAGGGTCATGGGAAGCGGCTGTCAGACTGTAGCTGTGTTTGTTGAACTGCGCAGCCTCCGTATTGCTCCTTCCTCAACTCAAAAATATATACACAGAGTTTTTAAACTATCTTCAGACAGCAATGAGAAAGTATTTAGCTGTGGGAGCCTTGCATCTCCGCAGTGCAGGACAGTCAGGCTGCAAATATGAACACAATCAAGCAATGGAGGAATCAAAACAAGCTAACTTTGACCTCTCACCTAGTTTTTAGCTTTAGTTTTCGTAGCTTTTAACACTTTTTTTTGTGTTGAACGAGTTGATAAAATACTTGAAGGTCACATCCAAAGTAGTCACAGTTTTATGTCAGTGTTGACTTGCTCCCTGCCCTTGTGATAAAATTAGGACATTAGCAATGCTGCGTACCTTCCTGAGGGCCTCCTTCAACGCAAAGTGCTCTTGTGTGTAGATTAAATGGTCATCCGCGACCTCTGGGGGCTTGGGCGACACAGACTGAGAGGACACCTGCTTAGAAAGCGAGCGAGCACCTGAAAAAGAGGCGAATTTGTGCAAAGTGCGGCAGCAGAACAGCATCTTCACGCCCAGAGCTCCTTCACGCAGCGCCATTACTGTTGACGTTCAGCTATTTGCGCATGCGCGAATTGGTTTGTGTGTACAAAACTGTTAGTAGGAAGCAGTGAAAAAGTTCAGAGAGTGAAAAAGTACTGGTCATCTATCTTTTTGCCGAGATTCATAACTTAAGGAAATATTCATTTACATATATATATTTTATTATTCGGTTACAGTTTATTAGGTAATTACGTAGAAAACTGAATCTATCTATCTATCTATCTATCTATCTATCTATCTATCTATCTATCTATCTGTCTGTCTGTCTGTCTATAGATATATCTATGCATATAGATATACAGAATACTGCAATTTGTGTGTCCTTAGACTTGAACTTCAAAATTATGCACTACAGAAAAAAAAAATACAAAAGTTAGTTATGTTTTTACTGTCCAGGAATAATGTCATCATCAGCTAACAATGAAATATGCTTTTCTTTGATAATGCTACATAATGTCCATAATGCTGATAGCGTTATGACAAATGTGTTACACATCTCCTACTGTAGGTTAACTTGAAATACCCCAAAGGTAATCACAGAGACAGTTTGAGTTATCAACATGCACGTTTAATGACAGTTGCTTCAGTGCATGAAACAACACACAGGCCCATTTTACTCAGACTATTTACATCACATGAGAGGGAAGCATTGTTGCTGGAACTCGTGCAGAACAAAATTTAGCTGACCCCAAAAAATGGTAAATTCATTTATAGGGTAGCTCGTGCAGTTGTATAACTCCTGTCTTTATCATGTCCTTCTAGTCTTCTCAGTCAGCAAATCCACTTTACAAGGGGCGGGAGAATGTCCTTGGGTACTAATCTGAGATAGGAAAAGCTCCTCAGGTCCATTTCAGCAGATGACACAGCCACCTTTCTCCTTGAAGGGGTTCTTCTCCTCTGAAATGCCTTTGACGAGGGTGTCCTCCTCCACGCCAGCCTGAATGTACTCCTTGATTTCCTCACAGCATTTGGATGTCTAAAATGATCAGACAGACATGTGGAAACGTGAGTTTATGATATTTTTCCTAATAAATGAATTGCAAGCTTGTGTGTGTGTGTGTGTGTGTGTGTGTGTGTGTTTAGATTAAATTCATCATCATACATAAATTATAAGTAGAAATGATAGGGGTAAGAAAAACTTACCAACCACCTCTCAAGCTTTACTTCAATTTTGAGTTGGTTCACTTCCATCACAGCCTTATCTTTGTCCGTCAGGTCATCCACATTTATGACTGGCATCCTCTGTAAAAGAAACGGAAAAGTTCAGCCAACCTGATGCTCACTCAACATGACAAACACGAGATCTTGGCTTGAGGATTCTCAGTGACATTTCAACTACGGCATAAGTCCATCTGTAGGAAAAGAGGGTACTCACGAATGCTCACAGGAAGCGGTCCTTCACCACCAAAATCCTACTGAAGAATCCCTCTCCTCTCCCTCAATCTGGGTTATAAAGTAATCCGCACCAACATTTCTAATCTGCTAATCTGATTAAAACGAGGGCCCACTGAATGATCACGCCAGTTATTCTGGAACAGCATCAAAGAAGGAGAGGATTCCTCACAGGTGTCTGTTTGATCAGTATTGATGTAGAAGCACTTAAATCTGTAAACTGTTTATTACAGACCGAATCAAAATTTGAGCTTGTTTGACCAAAGGTTCCTCAGAGTCAGATATATGGGGTAGTGGGTGGTGTTTATGTATTAGGTCATTTTGATAAGTCGGCTAATCTGTATTTAGCCCTTACCTGTCAAGGTGGAGACGCGTCATTGGTCTGAACATGACGGCATGGCACTTTTTCATGTCACATCTACCAGCAGCTAGAGTATACTAAATTAATGGTATCACTAAGACCAGAAGTAATAAGTTATTCATTTATCCATTCTCTTCCACTTGTTCAATATGGGGTCATTGGTGTTACAGCTCATTATTCTCCAGCTCATTCTGGGGTTCCCAAGGCGTTTCCAGGTTCAGGAGGGATTTTCTGAGTCTGTCCCCAAGGTGTTCTCCCAATGGAACATGCCAACAAAAAACTCAGAGGGGAAGGCCCAAGAAGGCATCCTGATTAGACGCCAAAACCACCACATCTGACTTGGTTTGAGTGGAGGACCAGCTCTTCAGATGGAAAAGCTACTCATTTTATCTCTAAGGTTCTGTTCCACCATGCCATGGAGAAGGTTTGTTTCAGTCATTTGTATCTGGGATCTGGTATTGATCCATATCTCATGACCACAGTTAAGGGTCTGATTGTAGGCGGGCTGGGAAATTATATCTCCTCGTTTATTCTCTCTTTTTTCTTTACTATTCCAGACCAATTATGAGGCCCAAATATCTCCCGCTCCATCCAATCATATCTCTTGAACAAGACAGCAAAGCACTTGTGTCTCTAGCCATGAGAGAGCAATCCACCTTTTCCCAGCCTCAGACTTAGAGGAGTCAAATTATCCCAGCTGCTTCACATTCAGCTATCTGATGTTCCAGTTCATGCTGAGGGTCGTGCCCTGAAGATGTCAACAGAACCATATCATCTTCAAAAAGCAACAAAAGCAACCAGAAGCTTGCTAAATTGGATACCCAGGATGAGTTTCTATCAGTTAAAGACATATTAGTATATATATATATCAGTAAAAGGGGCACAAAACCATTATAGTAGCCCAGTTATTTCATGCTACTACAGGCGTCAAGGGCATGGTTGAAAGCCTTTTTTCAGTTTCACAAGACATACGTGAACCGGAAAACGAGACCCCCATGATCCCAAAGGCAACTCTGCAAGGGTGAAGGTCTGGTCAACAGTTGTTTGGCCTTGAAAAAAAAGAGCCATTCTTGTTTTCCTGTTAAATCAACAGTTGGTAGAAATCGCCTTTCCAGCAGCCTGAAATATACTTCTCAAGGGAAGTGTTGGGACCACAACCCTGTTTTGACACTTTATGGGTGTTGCCATATAGCCCCACACAGACCCATCATCTATTTAATGCAATCTTCTTCCAGGGAAGTTTTTAGCAACTTCATTGACCTCTGACATGGTGATGACCTCAACTTCCCCTTAGTCATCCAGTTTCTCCCTTGAGGACAAGGTAAACTGAACTTCCATCAGCAATATCACAGGCTGGTCATTTATACCCTGTTACTGTTTCAGACCTATGCAGTTTTATTGGTTTTGTTTTGACAGCATATGACTTAAAGTAGTCTTCTATATTCTACTCATAATTTGTTGTAATGAAATGTAGTAAATATCAACAGGAGGTCTCTGAGAGTTGACAGGGCTACATAGTTGTCATTCAAGAATATATGAGAGATTTGAGCATCTAATGGTTGTTTATCTCAGGATACGTGGAAATTATTTCCCTTTTACTTTGTCAAAATATGAGCACAAAATTACTTGTTAATGGGTCCGAAATGGAATTAGGAGGAAAATGAGGTTTGAGGTGACAGTAGCGTCAAACTGATCAGATTTGACAAGATATTATTAATATTGACTTTGAATGGTAATAGAGTTGTGTATAACTAGAGTTTAATTGGTAAAGCAGGACATAATGTTTCCTTGAAGGAATGTTTGAAGGTGGCTGCAGGTGATAAGCAAGTGACTAAAGTTCATGTAAAGGTTAGGGTGAAAAAGGGCGTGTCAAGCAGGTGCATCTCAGCGTATAATATATTAATATTTTATATTAATTTCAACATTTGCTAATTCATATTTCTTATTATCTTAGGCTTATTATCATCATCCGCGTCTTTAGGCAAAACCTTTTAATTAGAACCTACTCAGGGATACAGTTTTTTTCTCAGTTCGGTTGAATACAGCGTTAGTCACAACTTTAAGCAAATATCGCGACGCAATACGTCTCTTATGTCACAAATTTATTAATCACGAATTTCGCCTTGAAATGAGTCACAACATCCGACCCCGCCCTTCAATTCCACCCCCCCGCTTCGTAGCTATAAAGCCTGAAGTGAGTGGGGTGGTCGGCACTGACAGAGGGGGAAAGACGAACAGCAGCTCGCACCATGGAGTTTGCCTTATTTGCGTTTTTTACGTTATTTGCATCGTTTTCCAGTAGTCTGGCGTTGTCACGAAATAAAGGTAACATATTTACCCCGAAACTTGAAGTTTTAAAACGATGTCTGTCACGTGACTTATGTTGAAGCGAAAGTTTAAGTCTATTTTTATTTATTTATGTAATTTTTTTTTTTTTTTTGCATATTGGCTCAATAATAACTTTATGTTGTTTTGTTCTAGGCGCATGTCTGCTTCCAGTGGAAAATGGTCCCTGCAGAGGAGAAATCGAGCGCTATTACTACAACACAGTTACCCAGAAGTGCGAGATATTTTATTATGGAGGCTGCCAGGGAAATGCCAACAACTTCAAGAGTTATCAGGAATGCCAGAAGACATGTTTCAGAATTCCAAGTAAGCGCTCTTCTCATTGTAAGACCAACAATGTAAACTGTTAAAATTTATGAAAAAAAAAATTATGAAAAACTGAACAGCTACTCTCAAAATCACAATTTCAATATGTCTTCAGATTTTAATGAGAAAGAACCTCATAAAATTAGTAGCTGTTTTCTTTTTTTTTTAATGAAACCCCCATGTGCGTTTCTTGGTTTAATCCAGATACCCCTAAATAAATTACAGCACAACCAAATGCCTTCAAAAGTCTCTTTTGGTTGTGATTGCACTTTCTATAACTTTCCATAAGTAAAACCTGCAGAGATCCTCACATTACTCTTTTAGCAAGGTATCTGATATACCTCTGTAGTTCTGTGATTTAAATTCTAAACAACCCTTTCTTTTCTTACTCTTTCTTACAGAGATTCCTCAAATCTGCAGGTTTCCCAAAGAGGTGGGTCATTGTCGTGGCCTCTTTTCCCGCTATTTCTTCAACATGACCACTATGCAGTGTGAGTCCTTCTCCTACGGGGGATGCGGGGGAAACTCCAATCGCTTTGAAGACCTCCCCTCTTGCCTGGAGTACTGCAGTCCCAAAAAAAGTAAGATTTCATAGATTAAATAAAAAAATTAAATAAAATAATTATATATATATATATATATATATATATATATATATATATATATATATATATATATATATATATAAAAGCACACACACAGAGAATGACACCACAC